CGTGGGGGCCGGCGACCCCCCCGGCCAGCGGCAGATTACAGCCCCCAGGCAGCGGGACTTGTCCCTGCCTGCGGGGCCGAAGGGCAGCAGGGTTAGGAGAGGGGGAGAAATAAATACCCTGCAGGAGAGAGGCTGATGGAGAGAAGGGAGAGAAGCAAGCTGGGGAGGAAGGGATGGATGGAGCAGGACAGCAGATCATGTGAACGTTTAAGAAGTGAGCAAGAAGGGGAAAGCAAAGTGCTGGAGCTGATGTGAGACAAGAGATTCACGCGGAGGGAATGGGAATGGTGAGGAAAGAGGAGAGACAGGGAAGGCAAAAAGCCCTCCCTGCGCCCTGCTGCGGCGACGGTGGGGACGGCCTCGGATGGGCTGCAGGGACGGGGGGATGAGAGGGGCTGCCATCGAGAGGAGCCCACAGCCAGAACAACGAGACTCCATCCAGCTGGGGGGGATCAGAGAGGACAGCGTGCACCCACCTGTCCCCCCACCCCAGGACCCTCGCTGAGCACAGCACAAGGTGACCTGTCCTGGCACACGCTGCCAGTGTCCCCTCAGCAGCATCCTCCGTCCTGCAGCCACCTGAATCCCTCGCCCTGCCACCTCTGAGCCCGGCACCGCTGACCGAGAGCACCCTGGGGCAACGGGAGCTCTCACACAGCACCCCTGCTCCGACGGGCTCCCCGGGTGCACCTCCACCCCCGGGTGAGGAGGCAGGAGGAGGAGGAGAAGGGATGCAGTGAACGCAGCCCTCTTGGAAGAGGACTGGGGCTTCTCTTGTCTGATTGCTTCCTTGGGGTTTTGCTTGTTTGCGTGTGTGTTTGCCGGTTTTCCCGGCGCCTCAGCAGAGAGCACAATGCGGGCTGTCCTCCAGCTGCAGCGGACGGGGCCAGCCCTCGCACGAGCCAGGGAAGGAGGCTGCTGCTGGCCAAACTCCGGCTCCAGCTCCCCAGGACAAGGACGGGCCCCAAGAGAGCCCGGCATGGCTGGGGACACAGGTGAGGAGGAGCAGGGGACATTACAGCCAGGGTCAGAGGCAGGGTGGCATTGCCACCTGGGCTGGTGGTGAGCAGGGTCCATGGAGATCCCCCAGACCCTGCTGGGCTCTGCCTGCTTTCTCCGTTACCCCTTCCCCGCTGGCTAACCTACCTCTCGCACCCCAAACGGAACTGTCTGCCTGCAGATTGCTGCTGGGACGCGCGTCTTTCTTGCCGGAAGGAAACCAGCTTTCCCACTGCTGTCCCTGTACCCGGAACGCCGCACCCCAGCACTGCCCTGGACATGCTGGTCACAGCAGGTCAACGCCTCCACGAGAACTGCCCAGCAAGAAGAGCAGGCATGGGCAGGGAAAGGATGCAGGATGAGAAAACAGTGGGAGAAAGGGAGTTTAGGGAAAAGAGCTGGAAAGAGAGAGGAACCAGGGTATGGAAGTCAGGGACGGCTGCATGGAAGAACCAGGAGCGCTGATAGACGGGAAAGCAGGAACAAGATCAAGAGGTAGGCAAGGAGGGACCGTCCGCATAAGGGACTTGGGGGCCAGGAGAAGCATGGGGGCTCTTCTGCCCGTGGACCTCGGGAGGGGCTGAAGCATCATTCCTGGGGGTCACAGCTCCATGTGCTAGGATTGCTTCCCGACCTGCAGCCCTCCGCGTCCCACCCACAGCTGCTGCACGCTGGCTCGCTCCAGGCATCTTAATCAAGTGCAAGCCCAGTGCTAATAAGTGACTTTGAGCAGGTCTGTCACTTCTGGCCTTGGGGTTGGGGTTAGAGGACTGTGGAGGGGATTGTCAGTGAACTGAGAAAGTGGGAAACCAATCTCTGTAGGACTAATGCTGAAGTTCTTGCAGGAGCCCAGCCCCAGGGAAGGGTGACCCCCAGCTCGACTGGTCCCTCCTGCAGTGACAGTGACCTCCCGAGGCTGTGGGACTGTCCCGAGGGGCTGGGGCTGGCCTCCCTCTGCCCCAGCGCTTTGCAAAGTCACGCTGGAGCCCTGCAGGGCTTCAGCCACCCTTGCACAGCCAGCGGGTGAGATCTCAGACCCAGGAGTGAAGGACTGACCCAACGCCTGGCTGCCGAGATCCCTCCGCAGGACGCATCCCACCCACCTCTGTCTGCTGTGGGTGGACACCAGGAGCGACCACGGCCCTGGCTGCTCATGGCCTTGCCTTCACTGTCCTGAAGGCAGGGAGACAGGGGCCTGTGAGGGCGGTGGGCAGCAGGACCTGCCAGCTCCATCACTGACACCATCCTCCAGCGTTCCCCACCAAACGTGCGCACAAAAACACTGCCCCGCTCTGGGAAACCCAACATTTATGCAGAGACTGAGGAAGGCAGACCTGAGAAGTGACTAAGGTAGGATCATAGTGGTGGAGCTGGTCCGTCACCTGCTCACTCACCTCCCTGGTATCGTTGTCCTGGATCAGAGCGTACAGAGGCACCACTCGGTTGATCTCCAGCAGAACCGGTGTAGGGCTGAGTTGCTCCTTACCAGGGCGCCGGCACAAATGGCAAGTGGATGGGCAGCGCCCTTTCTCCTCGCAGTGAATCTCCACACCTGAGATGAGGTGGTCATCAGACAGCATCTGTGCCGTTAGCAGGCCCGAGAGATAGGTGATGAAGGGCATGGATTTCAGCTCCTTCTTGTTTCCAAGCTCAGTTGTTTCTGGTTTAGGGAGGGGGAAGAAAAAAAACAAGTTTAAACAAATCTCAGCACAGTCATCCCAAACCCAAACTCTGCTGCAGCCAGCATAAACGCAGCTGGCTGAAGGTGTAGGCCAGGTGGGAACAGGAAACCCGAAAGGTCAAGGAGAGGAGAAAAACAGGACTTGCAGGTCACTGCTTGTGAGTGGGTAGAAAGTGCAAACATTTCCAGCTTCCTTTTTTTGTAACTTGCACATTAACTTTCTGCACTTCAAAATGAAACAAAGCCACACATCTTCCCTGTCTAAAAGAAACCTCTGCACAGCGACCTGGTCAAAGGGCTGAGCGCCCTCATCCCCACTCCAGTGTCAGACCTCTCTCGTCCCTGTGGTCCTTAGCTCTCTCCTTTGGGTGACACATCATCCAGGCACTGAGATGGACCCAAAGGAGGCTGCAAAGAGACTACTTCGTGGGACAAAGCCCTTTGGTGAGGGGGTGAGCGGGTACTGGAACAATCTCACCGCACGGGGAATAGACGGAGGCGTTGCCAAAACCAAACTGTCAACACTCTGCTTTCAGGACATCTTCAGGCCTTTGAAACCCAAGGTGAAACTTCCTGGTGGTCTTAACCACAAGGAGATAATCCCGGAGAGCCTTACTTTGCTCTGCCTTGGTTCAAATGCTCGCTAAGGACAAAGAAAGCATCACACCTGGAGACACCCTGACAAAAAGAGCCACGATTCCCATCTTTGTTCTGTACACTTCTGCTTCAACTCCTTATCTACAGACACTCTTCTTGGGTTGATCCAAGAAGGAAGGCCCAACTTTCATGACCTGGATGGCTGTTGCCTCCAGCAACAACCTCCCAGTCCCAAGCAGGAGCTGTAGCGGAAGGAGGATTGTCTCAGTGCCCTCGGCTTGCAGTGACACGCAGCTGATCTGGCAAGGCACCAGTCACTCAGAAATACAAGCAGATACCGTGTTCGTTCATGATTCCTGAAGCCCTCCAGGCTAGGGACAGCCCTGCTCTCTGGCTGTCGGGGAACACCTCTGTGCGCAGGATCAAAGCTGCCATCGGAAGAATGAGCAAATTGCAACCAAAATGTCTTTCAGTGGAATAAAAGGGGGGCAGTTGCTAAGACAAATTAAAACAAGGCTGTGAGGAGATGTCTCAACATCCAGGTGTACACAGACATGGAAAACAAGAGTTGGAGCTGGTTCTTGGAGAAATTATTTTCTGGAAGAGCAGCTCTAGGCAACTTCAAACCTTGTAAGGGACAGCCATGAAGCCATGATAAACTAGGTGGCTCAGAAAGAGTGAAGCTACAAGGTGATTTCAGAGCTCCTCCACAGGGAAGGAAGTTTTGGAGCCATGCTTTAAGGGAGATCATGAACACAGAGCTGAAGAGAAAGAGGAATCAGTTATCTTATGATCAGCAGTAGGATATCAAACCTTCCTTCCTGGATTATTGGCTTTCTAGCTAAGAATTATAGACCACTCGCATCCTATGTCTGGATGTGTCCTTAACACAGGCTATGCTTTAGCCAAAGCTTAGCTAAGACTTGCCTGGAGATGGGGCACACAGTTTCCAGCCTTTCTAAGAGGCTTTCTGAAAATCGTTGTTCAAATCACACACATAGGCTTCCACCAACACTTGGAAGAAGACCTGGAGACATCCCAGGCTGGATGGGTAGCCTGGTCCAGCTGCTGGAGCACTGCTCTGGGAATGCCTTGCTGGAGGCTCCACTCCAAGCCACCTGCTCGGTGCTTCTGCCCCCGGGCCACCCGTCCTCTCCGCGCTGAAGCACAGGCCACATGGTGCATGTGTACACAGAGCTTGTGGGCTCAGGCGCTCCTTGAGTACAAACAAGCTGTAAGGAGCGGCATGAATAAGCAGGAAGAGCAGCCTCCCTTGGTCCTCCTCAGTTACAGTTCGTGTCTGCAAGGAGCAAGCCAAGGCAAGTAAGGAGCAAAATAAAACTCTGAGCAAGAATTCCCCTCTGCAGGAGTGCACTGCCTCCAGCCTCCCTGCATTGCACCATGCTGAGGGACATCCCCGACCGATGCAGCTGTAAGAGCTGAGATTTGCGTGTTGGCACTAGCTGCCCCGTGCGGGAATACAGATGAGGCTCCAGACACATCACTGTGGGGAAGGAGAGGACACAGCTTCCTTGTAAATGGTGGGCTAGACATGGAGAGCCATCCTCCAGCATCTACCCTGACAACACAGCCCCTTCAGCAAGAAAAGAAAATGAACGTGAGCTTGTCCAACACATCCTGCACCGCCCGCCACCTCCTTCGCCCATTGCTCCCAGTAAAGGGCACTGCAGCTGGGGGTGGTGGAGGTGGTGGTGGTTTCAAGAGCTCTCCAAAGGGCTTGGCATGAAAGCGCGGGTTCCTCCTTTCTCCTGAAGGAAACTCAGATGGAGCAAAGCCATTCCAGGAGCAGCAATCACCAAATGGAGCTGCACAGGGGGAAGAGGAGAAGTCTGCAAATGAAGTAAGGCAGAGAACTGTACAAGTAGCACAGCTCCCCTTCCATAGCAGCCACGTTCTCAGCAACAGAAGATTAATCGTGGCGCCTGGTGACTCGTGGCAGGCTTGTCAGCAGAGCAGACTTCACAGGTAAGGTGGAAATGGCTGTCATCTGCATTTAATCCTCTTCAGAACAGTGGAAGCCCCAGTCACTTTGGGGAAAAGGATTGCTTTGCAGACTGGCTTCCAGGGGACTTTGGGGGTTACTGCAGCTGAGCTGACTAGTTCGGCGTGCTGGCAACAGATCCACGGCGTTCCCTTGTACCAAAAAGGCTCTGGGTACAACTCCAAAGGAGGAAAATGAAATAGGACATGGCTCAGCAGAGGGAGATGGGCTTCACTGCCAAATTGCCAGCTCTCATCCAGACGAGCACTTGGAAGTCGTCAGCACTGGATAGCAATTCCTGGTAGCTTCTGTGGAACGAGCTCTGGGGGCTTAAGTACAGTCCTGACAAAATAATCCCCCCGTTTCTGCTCTTAAAACCTACCTGAGAGTGCCAGTTGTGCACCCAGCTCGCGAGACAGCTCCCCCCGAGTCGGGGGCGAGGCAGCGAGGAGGAACCGCCGCTCCTCAGGGGTGGAAAGCATCAGCCCCAGGTGCCTCCAGGACTGCACTCATCCCTGGAAAGCTGCCGATTTCCTTGATGGAGACTCTGCTTCCTTCGTCTCCCTCCCACATCACCCACCGCTTGCAGCGTCTCACAGTGGATTTGTTCAGATCTGGGAGGTATTTTCCCCCAAAACACACTCCTTTATTCCTGGACCTGCCACTGAAACTGTAGCCCTGGGAAGAGGGATCAAGGTCCCTCAATCTCCCTCTCTCCCACCTCCGAGATGCGTTGCCGTTATCTTCTCAGCCGCCTGCATGCAAGGGCAGGGCCTGGGGGCCAGTCTGCCCTCCCCATGGCAAACCCAGCGCGAACTGGAGAAACCCCACGTGTTCCTGGAGGCTCGGTCTGACATTTATTACCTGCTCGCTGTACGGCATTCGTCAGCACTGAGGCCCCGCTGACTGGCTGCTTCTTGAATTAAAATATGGGCAGCTCAACCCTACTCCTGCTGCAGTCAAAGGAAGTTTTTGCCGTTGGATTGGAAGGAATCAGAACTAGACCCTGCAAGGTACCATCGCAGTGCCATCTCCTGCTGCCAGCCAAGCCAACGGAAAGGCTCCTGATGTCTTCACTGCAAGATGGGTCTGGACCAGAGTAAGCAAAGCCAGCTTTAGTGTTCAGGCCCACATTTCACAAAGCCTGTGCAGAAACTGATAACCTCCCAGGGCACGCAGACTGCTCTTGCAAAGCCTCTGCTTCACTCCTAGGGAAGGGCTTTGCAGGTGACCGCTGCCAGGGTGCTCCAAAGGGCCCGTTCTGGCAGGAGGACAAGGCTTGGCTGCAGGGGCCGCGGCAGCAAGCAAGGAGGGATCCCTTATCAGCCCTTGCATCTGAACATGCTTTCGCTAACGCTGCTGGCGACTCAGTCGAATCCTGGCAACATCTGTTTGGAGGCGCAGCGCCGCGGATGTGGTTAGACGCATCACAGCAACTTGTGGGAGTTATTAGTTTGTTTGTTTGTCTGAAATATGTATTAAAAAAAAAAAAAAAATACAACAACAAAACAAATAAAATAACAGCCTTCCGCTAAGCGTCAAGCCTTGCGTAAGAAAGGGAGGACGAGCAGCACAGGGTGTGCAGAGGTACCGCTCGCCTGTCGGGGTGCCTGGCTCCTTCTCTGCGCTCCACCAGGATTTAATAACCCCACAGCACGAGGCGACTGCCTGCACAGCGCGCAGGGGTCCCCGCTCGGGATCGCAGCTGCAGATGCGGGGAAACGCTTCCAGCGTTACCGGCAGCACCTCCTAGTGCTTGGACGAGAGAGAAGCACGGTAACACCACTACGACAACAATAACAAAAGCATAATACCTAATTCTTTTGTACTGGAGTGCTATTTTGTCTTGAGTGGTCCCAGGAGACAAAGGGTTTGCAAGTGGTCCAGCATTTTATACAGCGCCTCTTCCAAAAGATCCCAAGTCATTCCATACCTGGGAATCACTCCACTTGCCACAAGAATGCAGCCACATCAGGGGTAAGACATGGTAGCTCTTCAACAGCAGAACAGCTTGGAACGAGGCGAGGAGAAGGCTCTCCAGCTGAAGCCGTAGAGGGAACGTCAGGAACAGACCCAGGTAGGGATCCCTCCAGCTCAGCAGGTTAACCCCACCGACACTGCTCGGCTGGGCCTGAATCGGGACCCGGGTTCTGCATTTCGTGCAAGGAGGATGTAATTCTGGCCCACCTCCCCCTCACATCACCCTCCAGCTGGACAGACCGGGTGCCACCGCGGGCAGGGCAGCGGGGATTTACGGCCAACGCACACCCACGGGCACAGGCTGTCCCTTTACCACCTGCTGGAATGCTATCCCATTTGTTGGCAAATCCATTGGAAGGGAGTTGGAAAGAAAATCAATAGCTGTGTTCGCCTGGGAATT